CTACTGAACAAAACCTCAAAACTTTTATATAAGTATTATAATACGTTATTTGTTCATGAAACTATCTATCATTATATACATTATTTTGTAAAGTAACTAAAAATAGATTTCAATTAATATGCAATTTTTAATGTAATGTAAATATCACGATTTAGGTGGCTTAAGTATCCACTTACAAGCTTTCCAGCACCCGCAATCCCATGAAAATTCCTCACCCTCTTTCTTGCCACGTTTAAGGTGGCGGCGCTTGTTATTCGACCATTTCCACACAGGCACGACAGCGATTTAAAAATTGCTTAAACGCGCACATAAGTATGCTTTAGAAAGAAGAATACAATACAATACCCACATCTAACCAACACACGCACCCATCCACACAACAACTAACAGCAAGAACAAGCAGCCAAAACACAATCAGGTCCGTCCCTCCGCTCCCGCCTCCATTCATCCAATCCCGTCCACCTGCCACTCCGATCCCCACTTCCATTGTTAGCAGCTGCTGCACATTAGAAATTCAACTTCGCCTCGTCTTCTTTTAGGCGCTGAGCAACAATGGCGTGTGAATTAAAATAGAAAGCCAGGCCAGAACAGCAACGCTCGCTTGGTCGTCAGCTTGACGCTTCAAGGTGTGCGTGTGTGCGTATGTGTGGGCGTCGCTCAAGCGTTAAGAAGAAACTGCCGGTGCCCCATTCCCCCATATAGAAAACAGCAGCCTCAGCTCTGCCCCACGTTGGGCGCCATTTTTTTGTATGGCACACCACGTTGCCCCACGTTGGGCGCCATTTTTGTCAAGTCGCATTAAGGCAGCGCGCTCATTCGACTTGTTCGTTCTGCCCGTCGACTGCTGACGAAAATTGAACGGCCAGCAGAACGAAAATTGTTGTATAAATAAAAGCATAATTGATGCGAGACACACACACATACACACACACAAACGCACACATACACCGAGGGAATGAAAACAAAAAGCAAGAAAAACAACAACGGCAGCAGTCGCACAACATTCGACGGTGGCAGTGGCATATGGCATATGTTGCGTCAATCCAGCCATGAGCAGCGCAAACAAAACGACCAAGGAGCCGGCAAAAGTAGAAGAAGAAAAAATTGAGCCAGCGAGCGAGCTGCGCGCAAAAATGTTTCTTCTTTTGCATATTTTACGGCGCCCGTTCTGCGAAATGACTGCGAAAACAGGTTTGATGGGTTGGAAGCCAGATGGAGGTGGAGGCGGTGGTGAATGTGGAGATGGAGATGCTCCGCATATCATTTTTTGGGACAGCGCGGACTCTGCTCGTATTTATCTGGCACTCGGCTATATGTGTGCGCGTTGTCAGCTTGCAGATTTCTTATTTCTTTCAATCTTTCTTTTCTTTTTTTTTTTTTTTTTTGGTTGGTTGCTGGCTTCAGCTTCACATGGCGAGAAATTAATTTGAAATTTAAATGCGCGCCAAGCAAGAAGGGAAAGAATGTCTTTGATGATGATGATGATGATAATGACTGCGCTCGCTGGCTGGGAACATGTGTTTCTTCACGGCAAGGTGTTCTGCCACCATATTGGCCAGTATTTGTGGTTCTACCTTCCGTTCCTCCACAGCTGAACAAATAAAAATAGAAATGCTAATTGACTAATTTATTCGAAATTCCAAACGCTGTCAAAGGTGCGGGACTGTTGTGTGTGTCCTCGTTTCCAGTAACTCTGTTTGCAAGTTAAGAATTTATTCACTGGAGTTTCATTCGTTTTCATTGCTTTTCACCGGGTGTGACAGTTTTTTATTTTAAATTCTATTTGCGTTCCTCATTTTTTGCCGACTGTTGCTATGCATGTTGCGCGGCTTTTGCGCTTCGTCAATCAAAAGCATTTAGAGGCAAAGGCAGCTTTAATGCATGCGCGCGCTTTCATTAACAAGTGTTCGGGCCACGCCCACTTCTAAGCCGCGCCCACAAGCACGGACAGCAAAAAATCGCATCAGCGGCTTATGCAAATGGCAGAGTGTTGCTGTGTTAGTGTCTGTGTCCGTGTCTGTGTGTGTGTGTGCGTGTTGAGTGAATACGAAATTATTGTTTACAACTGTAAACTGTAAACTTTTTTTCGCTCCGTCTCCCCACACAGTGTGTGTTTGGTATACATATACCCATTTTTTTTGCATTTAGAAAACGTTTGCCAACCGCACTTAAAGCGACTTATAACATGTTGAGTGCCAAGAGATTAACAAGGGAGTGAACGTGTGAGGAATGAGGCGGAGTGCTCCTGGAGTCCAGAACCGCTCCTGGTCCATCCATTTTAGCCCTGCAAATTCCTTTTTAATGAGCGCTTGGTCCATTCCTGGACCGGGGCGTTCATAAGCTGCTTAAGGTTTGGCGTAATCAAAAAATGTTCTTCCCCTGCATTTATCGTTTTTTTAAAAGCTTTCTGTGGTACATCAACATGAAAGCCAAGGGGGATCGAAAAGGGAGCGGTAGGGGCAGCAGCAGCAGCGGGAGCAGGGGCGTTGAAAGTGGACTTTGTTAAGCTTAAAATTAACTTGCGGTTTTGTCTGGCGCAACTTTGACGCCTGCAGGTAGGCAATCAATTCGGTGCCGCTCCAGAGGCAACTACACCGCTCTGTTAGCCACATTGCACTTGGCCATATAATTAATGTATATGCCTTGGCTGAGGAAAAAGCGTGGAACACTTTTGCTGCGTGGCAGCTAAAAATTTTTATACAACACAGCAGCTGGCGTCGTTTTGCGCTAATTACCACTCCTCTTTTCCGACACAACGCAGTCGTAATGCCAAATTGCAATTACAGCCGCGCAGAGTGGGCCAGTGCTAGGTTGGTTGAGGTGGGTTGGGGGCAAACTGACATTAAAATGCTTAATGCAGGCAGGTATACGCTCTTAAAATTAAAAAAAAAAAAAACAAAAAAAGCGAGTAGAAAAATGTACAACTTGCTTTTGCCAGCGCCCCCAAACGTCTGCCGTTCCATTTTTTCTTGCCCGAGGAGGGCAGCAATTTGCCAGCGTCGTCTTTTGGGGAGTCCTGCTCATCTTAAAAATTGGCCAGGTGAGAAATTGCAGCTGTGTGTTCTTTGCCAGGGGCGTGGCAGATCAAGGGGATGGGGTAGGGCTGGGGGCAGGGGGCAGGTCAGGTCAGGCACTTCAAGCGTGTAACGCTTGGGGCAAAAGGTGAGAAATGGGTTGGAGCCACATGCCGGGCGTAATTGGAGGTAAAGTGCAGTTGGCTGTAGGCCTCCAGCGGATATGCCCCCCATTTTCTATTCCACTAATGCCTTTGCAAAGGGTAGACAAAAATTATGGTAATGCTCGGGCGGATAGCAATTTACACAGATTTCATCTTAGATTGAACAGATCTTTTCCCTTTTTCCGCCCCGTTTTTCCAATCGATACCCGTAACCGTACCCATTGAAATCGCTGCCGGCTATGCTTTGATTTGCTGTGTATCGACTGCAATCAGCTATAAAATGTGACGGTTTTGCGCTCTGAAATTGAAATTTACTTAAGCCGCTCTGTTTGCACTCGCCTTTGAATTCGAATTGGGTTCTTGTACCGTCATTATTTGTTTGTTTGCCTCACTTGCGGCTATATTTTTGAAGTTTTCACCCACTGCGTATTTGTTTGGCCAAGTCCGTTTGCCGAATGTGTGCAACTTTTGGCCAACGGCAAGTGTCATTGGTTTAGCTACCCAGCAGTTGGTCCTGGCACGGTCTTCACTGTAATTATCCTTGGCAGCGGCAGCAGGAGGAGAGTCTGTGCACCATCATCAACTTCCGCCTAAGTAAACACATGATTTCTCGTCAAGCGCCGCGGCGTTTGTTTAAAAACGCATCTAAATTGCAAATTAAGCAACAAATTTCATCAACAATATTTGAATTTGAATTTAAATGCGCCAACGAGTTGTCGAAGGAGTTGGAAGCAGAGCAGAGCCCGCAAACACACAAAACCCAAAATGTAAAATTCGTTTGCTGAAGGAGTGAAGAGCGAAAAAGGACGAGGACGAGGAGGAGAATGAGGATGAGGATGCGCACGCGGATGCGGATGCGGATGAGGACTTGGTTGCGGATTTGGTCCTGGTGCTGGAACTTGGAGGATTCGACTTGGGACTGCACTGACTGCCTGCCTGGCTGTAAACACCGAAAATACAACAATGGCAGCGTTTCAGCCACTACCGCTTCCACGCCCACACCCACACCCACACCCACTTCCCCCAGCAGCTGGTTTGTGTATTTGCTTGTTTGTTTGTCAAAAGAAGCAATTTACGTGCAAAATAACTCAAGTGTCATGCAAATTTCATTTATTTTTCGCAAGCACCAAAGCAAGAAAATAGAAGAAACGCACGAAAGACGAAATAATTCCCGGGCAGCGTTGTCATAGAGCTAAAGGCTCTTCTATACGGTTTCTTCGCTTTCTTCTATATACTCGTAGAGCTACATAGCCGCAATCTGAGCTATATATGTATGGTGATTCCTTACAAAATTCGGGCATAATGAAGTCACTTGGCGGGAAACCCACGTTGCTCCGGGTTTCCACTGCTCTTATGCCGAAAGCCATTTTGATTTATTTTTCATTTTCTTTTCTTTTCATTTCTTTTTTTTGTTAGAAAATTAGAGTAGAACGAGCTTCTTGATTTGCCATTGAAGTGCGGCGTAAAAGGAAAAAATAATAATACGGCATTTAATTTAATTCTAATTTTATTTATAAATCATGGAAACTTGGCCCGAACAACGAGCACTTGTAGCTTAAATGAAGTTTGCTAAGTACTTTTCAACGATGAGAATAAGCAACAACACCAAGCTGGAGAACAACAACCACTTGAGTACGCATACTTCAGGTTTGAAATTTCATTATTTTCGTATTATTCGCACACAAGTGCCATCAAGGAACGATGCCTTGCCCTTGCCCAGACACAAAAACACAATTTTCTAATTTCGAGAAAGCGGCGTGGATGGCTACTTTATGCATTTAAAGTTGTTTATCCCCCGGGTGACTGTGAATTTTCTACTTACCGGCATAGTTTGACTTCCGTGTAGGTTGGTTATTGCTGACTGAGCCTCCTGCTGCGAACCAAATTTGACGAAAGCGCAGCCTGCAAATAAAATGCGGAAAAGTTGATTAGTAATAGTGCTTGAATGGCTATCAAGGGTATTTGTTTTTGCACATAAGACTTATTTCTTTGGCATGGCAACCACTTTACACTGCGCCACTTGTGAATATTTGTGCAGCATGGAATATTGAATTTAAAAATCAGCAAGCATTCCATGAATACCATTTCGAAATCGCGTAAGTGAAGAGGTCAGATGAGGCTACATCTGCCATTGGGTCGAAATGCTCGTGTTTGTGAGGGGCATTTAAATAAAATTTTAAGTGCAATTAAAAAACATTTTTGCAAGAATCGCCTCGTGCACTCTTGCATGAAAATCAACATCGACATCGGAGGCGAAATCAGCGACCGTCCAACGTCCATTATATAAAAATAATAGTCGGCCTGTGCGGCCCGTTGGTATGGGATTGGTTGGTATGGAATGTAAAATGTAAAATTCAAACTGAACCGAAAAATATACAGGAAAAAATGGAGAAAATATTCCACTGCACTTGCTCGCTCATTATATTGTAATTTGTGGGTGTGCCAGCTGCTGTTGGGGCATGGGGACTACAATGGAGCAGTGGGAGCTGCTCTGAAGGGCCCGGCTTCAATGGCATAATTATTAAAAATCATTTATGCTAATTTAATATACAGTAATAACCACAAAAAGTAAGGACCTTCCACCGCCTGCAGAGCAGCCGGCAGTCGGGGCATCGAAAAGTGCGTAGTGTGGCGGGAATAAAAGGGGCTTATGCCACATGTAAGCCGGTGCTTGAATGCGATTTAAAAATGCGGTAATGCCCGATGGCTTCGAGCATTGTTTTACATTTGTAAATTGATAACAAATTAAGAGCGCTTAATACGTTCGCATAGACAGCTTGCAATTATGGTTAGTTGCCATGAGTAAACAGATATGTTAACTGCGAATCAACTGAATATAAAACGACTGTTAGAGATGCAAATGCATCCTGTTCCTATTTAATTAAGCCAGTTCAGGCAAATTTAAATAATATTCAATACACAGAAATCTTACACTTTTTGAACCCAAAGGGTCTGATTTCTGGCAAGCCAGGATAAAATCTGTATGTGTGCAAACTCTCCGCCGCTTAACCCCGCCGCCAAGGAATTAATTAAGGCCTAGCTTAACCCTTGCTCTGCGGCTCCTCATCTGTTGTTTCTGTGTTTCTGTGCTGCTGTGCTGCACGCAAAACATCAACAATGCTGAAAATTAAGACCCTCCAGCTGGGAAAGCCTCTCGGGGGTTGGGCATGCCCGGTCTGTAAATTCAGGAAACCCTGCAAAATGTCTAATTCCCGAACCCTCACCGCGTCGAGGGTTCGGACAGGATGGGTGTCCAAATTGCGGCTTGGGCTGTTGCTGTTGCCTTTTGTAGTTGACGCTATTCCAAAGGGGCGTGATTGGGTTGGGGGCAGGGGCGCGGAAAAACAAATCCCGCCTAAAACCATGCAACATGCGAGCTGACAAGCCGAAAGGCAGACAAGCACAAATTTCGCGTGCAAACAACGCGAAGAGCAACAGCGACCAAAATGGAAAAAATAAAAAAAAATGGGAGGAGGGGGGCTGTAAGGGAAAATTCCCTTTTATTCGCCTTGTTGCAAATGTACAAAAAATAAAGTGTAAAAAATTCAAGTGGATTTTTGTTCGGCCCGACTCGTCGCGACTCTTGTGTATTTTATGTTTTGTGTGTTGAAGTGACAACAAAATCCAGAATTTTCCCCGGGACATGGGCGGGGATTTTTCGGGGCAGGGGGCGATGGAACGGCAGGACACAAGAGTGCAAATCAGCGCTGCTAAGCAATAAAAAATAAAATATTTTGTTGCCAGTTAATCCACACAGCTGAAACGCAAAAGAATAACGCAAGGAAAAAAAAGAAAAGAAAAGAATACAACAAGTTAAAAAAACAAGGCAATTGCTAAGCATTTTTGTAAACTTAAATCAAAGTTGATTCTCCTTTTTACATTTTTTGCCCCATTTCTGTGTCCTTTTTTGTTTCCTTTGTATCTGTTTTGTTTTTTCGGTATATATTTTTGGGATGGCTTGTTTCGCCCCATGTGAAATGTATTTTTCTTGGCATAACTTTTGTGAAAAGCAAACTTTGCTTGGGGGGTGCAGACTTAAAATGTTCGAACACCTCTAACAAGAGAGACCCAGAAAGATATCGGGAAAAGCTTTATAAATGTTTCCATTGTCCCATCACTTGGCTGCTCGCAAGTGCGTAAGTTCTATATCTCATTTCGTATTTATGGAAAAGTTTCAATCTACCAAACTTGGACATTCATTAGCATCTTGAGCAAACAGTGTGGGTTCCTCGTCAGCCGGCTAATTGTGTGTCTTTGACTGAAGTTCGACTCCTATCTAAGTTGACTTTCTCGGGAACCATTTGATTATTTACCCTTTGCAGGCGGTCGCTTAACATTACGGATAATTGTCAAACTTGGAGTCATTATATTAATTAAAAGCAAATTAGTCAGCGAAAGAGGTGAGTCAGACGGAGGATGGCCAAGTCCAAATCCGAACTCATCGCAGTTCCTCGACTTGGCTTTGATGTAGATAAGGAGAGGGGAGTGGTAAGGGAAGGGAAATTGAATCTACATACAAATCCAGTCAACGGACAACACTTTTAACAATTAGTGCAGGACGACAGGTTGCAGGACAACACACTCTCTCACCTCCTTTCATTCCCTGCAAGAGCCAACAAAGTGCAACGCCCTAATTACTTAACGGCCAGGAGAAGGCAGGCTGTAGATGATTCCTTGATTCTCAGCAATTAGTTGAAATTAAAATGTGAGCAAGTGCGCCAAGTTTTTAGCGTCTTGTGCAACTTCCGGTGAAGCGTGAAATGACGCAGCTGCAGGATCCGAGGATCCCAGCCTAATGACACTTTTTAATCAAATATGCTAATGCTAATGCGAAAGTTGTGTTGTCATTAAAATCATAGTGATGCAAAGTTGGCGTCTGTCTTTATTCTGGCACGTCTCTTTAAGCTTCTGTTTTAATGTTTTAATCACCAGCATTCAGTTGCCCTATGATTGAATTTATCATGATGCGGAGTGCCGTAGTTCACCTATAACCTATGCCATACTTTTCCATCTGGTTGACCCTAATGGGTCAAGCTTTGGCTACCCCAAAAAAAAGGGGAATTGCTGCGACAATTGAGTTGAACGAGATTTCGGGGCAACACATGCGATTAAATTTATGGGAGGGAAGCTTCATGCTCGGCCACAACTTGCACATTTGCAATACAAATTTGCAATGTCATTAATGTATGGGAAACCCCAGTGCTGGACAACCCTGCTCACCAAAAAGAAAAAAAAAAGGATGCCTTGCCATGAAAAATCGCCGCCGGTCAAACACGTAACCAAATTGTGCAGAGCAGCGGCGGCAGGAGGAGGTGCAGCATGTGGAGCAGTAGCAGCAGGGCCAGGAGCGATGGCAGCAGGACATCAGGACTGCAGAAGCAGCAGCTACAGCAGGAAACAAGGATAACGAGCGTGTTGAGGCCCCACCCCCCCCATTTCATACCCCCTCCAAATGGGGTTTTGGTCGATATGTTGGCCTTGTCGGTCGCCGTCGCCGTCGCCGGGAGGGGCTGGCTCATGTTATGGCCGGGCTAGGCCAGCCAGCCAGTATGCCTCCTGATGTTGCCGGCTGCACTGCCACTGCTGCATGGGACAAGTATTTTAAAATCCAATTAAAAACGCCCTAGTGGGATTTTTCAATCGCTGCCGACCAGGATGAGAGAGAAAGGACTGCCAAGGCAGCTGGACAGGCATCAGCATCAGCAACAAAGTTGCATTAAGCGCGCGACATTCGCTTGCCACCGGTCGCGTCATAGTCATTTGTTGGTAGTATGGCTGGATGGGAGGATGGTTGGATGGCAGGATGGTTGGATGGCGGGATGGCGGGATGGCGGGATTGCCATGGATGGCATTGAGGTGGAGTTGGTCGATGGTCCCAGGACCTCGTTGATGGCCATTGCATGTTTGCCTCTTGGGCGCAAAAGCGTAGCATGAATCTTGTTAGCCAACGTTTACGCTTATTATGCGATGGCAAGGCTATCGAATTTGTTTGATGCATGTGCAGGAGCTCCTACTTCTCTGCCACTGGCTGCAAAAACAAGGCAGTGAGTGCACTGGGGCTTGGATGTGAAATGTGTGATATGAGGAATATCTGGGAAGCTGGAAAGCTGGGAAGCAAATTGCATTTGCGGCATGACACTCACAGTTGAATGCACCTCGGGAGATGGCAGAAGAAATCAAATAAACTCATCCAAATGCAACATATGATGTCCGGCCAGGTAGCTAATGTCGTTTCAAACTATTTGCGCAGAGTCCGAGGAGCATGGCATGGCCTTCGTATATCCAAAAACTTTGACCAGCATGTCTAATCAAATCTGTCGCTGGCAGAACTTATCAATATGGCCATTGGCCAACTACGAGCTGCAAAATACAAACACACAACTGTGACCAGTTGACCAGTTGACCAGTCACCCAGCTGGATGAAATTGAACTCTGCCAGGCATGAGAGGCCCCAGCACTTTGCATACAAATCATATAGACTTTTTGGAGTGTATCCCAGGACACACACTCTAATACTGGCACCAACACGTACTCTGAATGCCCAATGGGACCATTATTCTTGATTTTGGCCCAAAAAAAAGGCCAGTCAGGGGTGGTGGGTAAAACTTTCGACTACCTTTTGCCAGTTGATAAACAACAAAACTTTCGGCCCGCCAGGCTAGAGGCATTTTAAGGATTTGCAACTTCAGTAAATAACATTCGAGGCCGCACTCTCTTCACATGCGAACTCATGGAGCATTGGATTTGGTCGAAATTTCGTATGCAAAATAGTAGCTCCCCATACGTGTAATGTGATATATTTTTTACCGAACATTCGTCTGAGATGTGGGACGGGCACTGCAGTCGAAATTAAATAAAAATCAGTGCCCTGAGTGAGCTCAAATTGCAATTTCATAAGCAAT